CCGTTGCGAACCGTGGCCACGTCTCGTCCTCGCCAAGTACGAAACCCGTGGCTACCATACCTGGTGGTGGCACGGTGTGTACCACCACCTCGGCCTTCCAAGATTGTAAACAGCCGAGCAAGAACCGGGGAAACCAGACGGTGGCTAACGTTTGGTCGCGCTTCTCTCTCTCTCTCTCTTCCTTCCATCTCTCCCTTCCCCTTCTCCTCCTCTTCTGCGCTTCTTCTTCCTTCTTCGAGGATCGTCGAGATGCGCCCAGGTGCGAGCGTCGATATTAAGCCGGTCGGCGTTCCTCCGCGTCCGAGCGCGAGATCGCCGCAACTCGAAGAGGAAGAGCTCGAGGAGGAGGGAGGATAAGTTTCTCTCTGTTATGAGAGAGTGGTGAAAATTCAGGGAGGAAGAGGTAGAAAGAGAAGCAGGAGTTTTCGAAGGGAGAAACGGGGTCCAAAGGTGTCCAAAGGATTACCGATGCGCCATTGTTCCCGTGGACAGGAGGGTTGGGGAGGTCGTGCACGCCTCTCTGATGCATCGCCTCTTATTTCCTCTCCTTTCTCTTTATTTCTCGGCCGTGACACACACCACGGCCGTGTTGATGCATCATCAGCAGCAGCTCGGATATGATCCGGCTTGATACCCTTGTTCGTGACGAATGAAGGATCGTTGTTGATTCAAGAAAACGGAGATAAGGGATTGGATAAGGAGAGGTGCTCGATTGTGAGCCGCGTACGCGCGAGGCAAGCGTTGAGGAAAATTGGAATTTGAGATGTTGTCGGCCAGACGGTACAGAGATTCGAGGCGGAAACTTAAATTAGAGTTGAATCGCGTTAAATTTCAATCTCGTTCACCTCGAGTCGAGGAGAGAGAGCTCGAAACAATCGCGAGACAACGCGTTGATCGTTGTCTCCCTTTTGCAACCACGTATCGCGCCTGTTTTTGAATAGAAAACGCGTCTGACGTCCCGACTGACGTCTTATTCTAGAAGTGATTCCTCCTTAAAGCGAGATGTAGAAAGTTATACGTAGAAAAAAACAATAAAACCTCCTCTTTCTCCTCTCATCCATCTCTCCTCCATCTCATACGAAGACACCGTGTCGATGTTACATTATATTTCAATTACGAATAACGAAATTACAATCGAACTGTTTCGAAATTGGAACGCGATAAATTAATAGAATCTCGACAAACTCTCAACCAAGAAATTACACGATTAAAAACGCGAAATTGGCACCAAGTTTCTTCGGCCGAAGAAAAGAAACTCAACAATTCAAACTACAAAACTTCAACTTGAACCTTACTATCGTTACTCTCTTCAAGTTTCTCGCCTAGGAATCGGATTAAAATTAAAATCAAAATTATCGACTCGTATCCCGATCCGGTCGTGTTCCAATTCAAGTTTTCGTGGCCATCGTTCCTTCCTTCTCCGCTCACATTTTCGCAGTGTAATCCAAATTTTCGTGACATCCTTCTCCTCTCACATTTTCGCAGAGTAATCGGCTCGCACACGTTTCGGAATCGCGGAAGGAAAATCGATGCGATCGCGTGCGAGGGCTGTAACGGGATTCGAAGCGGGGTCGGGGCTATTGATCGGACGAGGAGGTAAAGTTGATCGAGGAGGAGGAGGAGGAGGAGGAGGATCGAGACACGCGGTAAGACGAGATGGATGAATGTGTGACGAACGGAGGGGGAGGGGGAAAGAAGAAGAAGAGGAAGAAGGAATAAAAAAAGCACGTCTCGCGACATTGGCAACGGCGGTCAACCGACAACCGCGTTTTAATGACTAATAACCTCTCCGTGATTGAGCGGCGTGTCGCGAAAGTAGGCGGAATTTACGGGGACACGATCCTCCCCCTTCCCTCCGCCCCCTCCCCGTATTCTTGTGCCATTGATTTATTGCCATTATGCAAGGAATTATCCCTTAGCCAAGCGTTCCTCCTCGGATCGGACGTGGAACACGCTAAGGTCCCATTCCAACGTTGGGTCGTTGACTCTCCTCGCATCGATGTTTTCCTTCCGAGATTGCCTCCCTTCCCGTTTTTATGCTAATCACACATTGTTCCTTACCTTCCCTTTCCGTCTTGGAAAATGTGAAATATTTCCAGAAATTCATTTGGGACAGGAAATATACGATTGAAATTGATGTTCGAACGATTTTGAACGAATGAAGAGGTATATTAACGGAGGTATATCGATGTGTAATCATTCCTGTATAAAATTTAAATTCACGGATAATTGTTATTTTGGAGAAAAAGGACGAAGAGATCGATGATATGTTATATTTCTCGTAATAACTTGATAATTTCAACG